AGCTGCTGTTTGCTGCCAATACATATTCTTTATTATTCTTGGATCTTTCCCATCAATGTTTAATTTTTCTAAGTTTGATTACTTCTTCATGCTTCACACAGTCAAATGCTTTTGTATAGTCTATGAAGCATAAGTACAAATCAGTCTTTACTTCTATAGCTCTTTCTGACAATGTCCTTAGGATGTATATGGCATTGTTTGTACCTTTTCCTTCTACAAATCCACATTGTTCATCACTGATTTCTGGTTTAATTTTGTTTCTTATTCTTCTCATAATTATTCTCAGTAAAATCTTAGTCATGTGACTCATAAGACTTATTGTGCGATGGTCTTCACATTTTAAAGTGCCTGGTTTCTTCGGCAGAGCTATAAATATGGATTTTAAAAAGGTCATTTGGAATATACCCACTGTTATATAAATATCATTTAAAAGTTTAGTTATTATTTCAATTCCAAAATTTCCCAGTGCTTCGATTTCTTCCAGTGAGATGTTGTCTGGCCCGGGTGCTTTTCCTTTCTTCATATGATGTATTGCATCCTCAACTTCTGCAGTCATTATTGGTGGACCATCATTGTTGTTCTGCAGTTCTATGTCTGGTCTATTATCATCATACAATTCCCCTATATACTCTGTCCATCTGTTAATTATATTACTATGTCCCATTAATAAGTCACCATCCTTTGATATCAAACATCCAGTGCTGTTACGTGTCATCTTTCCTGTTAACATATTTATCTGTTGGTACATGGAATGTGAGTCTTTCCCGTGATTTTCCCCAATCTCTGTACACATTTGATTCAGCCAGGCTTCTTTAGCAACTTTGCATTTGTTCACTATCTCTTTTTGTATTCTAGAGTATTATTCTTTATCATTCTTTTTCTTCCTTCTTTCATCCATCAACTGCAGAATTTCGGTTGACATCCATTTCTTTTTTGCAACTGTATGGGTTGGTGGGATTGTCTCTTTTGATGTCTGCTGAATTGACTCACGCAACATATCCCACTGTTCATCGTTTGTATAATTTCCATTGCATTATACCGGTTTTGTACAGTGACGTTGTACTGTTCCTTAATTTCTTTATCCGTTCTAAGAATTCCTAAATTTAACTTGATGTTCTGTGGTGTTTTTCTAATGTTCTTTAGTTTTATTCTAATTTTTCCTACAACTGGAACATGGTCACTAAAGCAGTCTGCCCCTGGTCTAGTTTTAGCTCCAACTAAGCTGCTCTGAAATCTTCTTGAAATCAAAATATAATCAATCTGATTGCGGACATTATCACCAGGACTTTTCCAAGTCCACAATCTTCGAGGATGGTGTTTAAACCAGGTGTTACCTATTATCACGCTTACTGTCTGTATTTCATAGCTGACAGTAAGAAAGAAGCATCGTGTGTTGAAAACCTTGATTTTACCGGATAACCCCACCAGAATAGAGGGAATTAAATGGTATGAAGTAATCCCTAATGTAAAGCTTTGGGAGAGAGCTAAACAAGTTCCAGTGGACCAAAAAGTGACAAAAAAAAAAAAAAAGGCGCTGGCGTTGGGTAGGATGCACGTTGAAAAAACCTGAGAACAATATAACTAGAATGTCTTTGCACTGTAACCCACTGGGGTATGGAAATAAAGGAAGACAATGGAATGGGGAGCCAGATAGTGAAGTAAAAAAGATGGGGGAGGACATGTTGAGAGCTGCATACGATCATCATCATCATGTGTCCTGCCAACTGGCATAGGCGCTTATGCGTCTCCACAGATCACGATCCATGGTTGTCTGGAACAGCTCTAATTGATGATATCCTCCCATGCCATCATTTTAGCCCACCCAGCATCATCTCTCTTGGTCTGCCTTCAACCCCCTTTCCCACTGATCTTTTCAGTTGTCACGATGTTCTCCAATGTCTCTCTTCTCATTATGTGGACAAAGAACAGTGTTTGGCTCTTTCTTATTGTTGTTTATAGAGATCTACTTTCATTAGCCTCTTTCAAGCAATCGTTGTTAGTTACTCTGGTCGTAAAAGGTATTCGTAACATTCGTCTCAGAAACCACATCTCTGTTGCTTCAAAATTCTTCCTAATTTGTTCAGCGACATTCCAAGATTTGCTGCCATACAGCATAACAGGTTCTATGCAACATTTTAGCACTTTCTTTCTAACATTAAATGAGAGCGATTTATTGCATAAGATATTTTTTATTTTCTGAAATGCAGCGTTTGCTTGACCTATTCTGCTTTTAATCTCTGTCACACATTTGTCTATCTGAAGATATGATTGTTCCCAGATATTTAAATTTATTGACTTGGTTAAGTCTTTTCCTGCATGCGATATCAAGGGATATAACGACTTGACATGGGTTGGTTAAGGGCATATGCTATAATGGGGGTTAGAAAGGCAGAAGAATAAGAAGACTATATGCCGTGACCCATCAATGACCTTAACCCATTCCCCCATGTAACTAGCCAACAGACTAGCTTGACCCTTTCGCTGAGCCACTGACACCTAACACTATGATACGTCACCCGCCACTTTGCCATAATTTTTTTAAATTTTTAAAATCTATATAAAATCATAGCATCATATGCCTTGGGGAGCCCTGATAAACCCTGCCCCTTACTTTAGGCACGTTGATGATCACAAATCACCCATATCACACCGTAGCTGTTCAATACTACAGATAACAAATGACATTCTAGCAGACCCCGGAGAGACCTGATCGCTCCCGCTCGTCGGTAAGGCACGTGATGCTGGAGCTTGACCACAGACCACCGCCGAACCCGAGATGAAACCGCCCTTTCTTTATTATACTATATAACTACAAGAACGGCCCAGTTCTGCCCGCTCCTGCTCACCCGAGCCGCAAGGTGACCTCAAACCACAGGAGTCATGTGACTTCCCCGCCCATCAGGCGGGCAAAAGTGAGCCCCAGAGTTTAAAAAAAAATATCTTCTATCTACGCCGCAGTTAGTATAGCTTAAAGAGGGGAAACGCCCCCCCCCCCTCCCCCAAATGCTAGGGATTTCGTTATATATGACTACTCATGTAGACTCCTGGACATCTGTTGGTAAAAATATATAAATATATAGTTATGTATGTAACTAGAGAAAAGACGTGGCGCTTGTGCACTGTTTTAAAGGGCTCCAACTCTTAGATTTGCTGAATAACTGTTTTAACTGCAACCAGTCGCAGTTATAAAAAAAGTCTTCACTCCAAGAATAAATGTTGTGAATAACTCTTGTGTTTAGAATTTTCAGCTCACGCTGTTTTATCTGTAGCGAGTCGTAGTTATAAGAAATCTCTTCTCCAAGAATACATGTTGTAAATACCTCCTGCATATAGAATTTTCGGCTCAGGTTTTCCTTCCACAAAGTGTGGAAGTATGGGGACGGTAATATTCAGCAACTATCAAGAATATCATTAATTACTTCTAATGTTGGGAAAGATAATTAATCTAACGGGCAATAACTTATACCCTTTTTGTTTATGTTGAAAAGTGTGAAGTTTGAAGATTGAACAACGGATCAACATCACGGCACACGGGTAGTAACACAAGTGCTCCGTTTTACTTCTAACTCAAATCTGAGTCGGAAGAATCTCAGCGCAGTGCACAAGCTCTGTAGCACCTGCGAGTATCCTGAAATACTTTAGGTAGATTTTAAACTTACAATTTTGCCTGGGCAGCGCCGTTAGGCTACACTTCGATTTCAAACTGCCAAAAAATATTTCACGTGCAGAACAATACATACTGGCGTCCGATCTCACTATCCAGAGACCAGGGGGCAAATACTAGAAATCTAGGACTTCAGCACTCTAGGCGGAGGCCATGCCTCAAGACCACGCAGCTCCCGCTTTTATGTTGAAAAATTAGGTAATTATAACGACTTTGAACTGTTATAAAACATGGCAACATATATGAACAGTTAAATGTAATGTTCTTTTCCTTTCTTCCAACCCCGTTCTCAACTGCTGCTTCATTTTATACGATGCGCCTAACTGCATCTAAGTCTCTTAACACCCCCCCCCCCACCCCCCCAAAAAAAATGTGACTAATGTAGCTGCTATTCTTTAAACTGTCTCAGCCACCCACCTCAGTAAGTAGTAGCTCCCACTTTGGGAAACACTCTCCGTGTGCAGTAGGAGAAAATCAACCCTGAGCTTCACGAACTCACGTGGGCCCACTCTCTGAAAATGTCTAGGAGCTCGTGGGCGGAAACATTTGTCGAGATTACTTCTACTGATGATTGGTAGGCTCCTGCTGTACATGCTTCCCTCTGGAGTTTCTTCTTATTGGGAACCACGACCCTAGACCCTATTGTCCTACATTGCTCTAAAGTGTTATCAATAAAGGCAGTAAATGCAAACATCGATAGTCTTACTGCTCATAGCAGTCAGTCAATCACTCCTCAAGTTTGGTAGACATCGGCGCTTAACTTGATACAGCCGGATGTAAATCGGAATCTTGGGCAAATGTGATCGTCCGCACCAATTTTTAAAGGATTGATGTTGACTGTGATATATGATATGCTGAGAAATTCAGATGCATGAATAATGTTTTACAGTGGGAGTAATCTAAATCTGTTGAGAAAATTACACAACGCCAAAGTTTCCGCAGTTAGTAAACACTTTTAATGTCATAAAAAATTCAAAGTCACCAAAGTAAATCTAAATTTTGCACGGGTGCGTTCCAGGGTCCCGTAATAGAGGGAACAAAGGATAGACTCACTGCCCCCTAAAAGTCGACAAATTAGGGGTGTTTCTTTCGAAGCCGTAGCACAGTTTCATGAGAAGTGAGAAACAAACGGTCTGCATATAAATAGGCCAGATGTGTAAAACGGATGTGCACACAAAACGCAAGCTCTTGAAAAGGACTAACTTCCAGAAGTGGACAAACAACTAAAACTTTCTATCAGAGTATATAACCAGTGAAAGCTAAGAAAAAAAAAAAAAAATTTGGATATCAGATACGAGTTGTGTTACTTTAGCAACATAGTAGATGAAACCGTTTTTTAGGAACTTAAAACTGTGTTTAGCCTTTGAACACACATGTTTGTGGGAGAAGGAATATCTTCACAGCTAAGACGAATAGGGTTGTAAAACGTGTAGTTATCTCGTTTGCATGATGACACCAACAGTTTGCCAGCTACACAGACTATATAGCTGAAAAAAAAAAAAAAAAAACATGTCTTAATAATTGAAAATACGTAAATATTAAACTAAGGAGATATTAACACACTTAAAATGTGCAGAGACACAATACAATTTCACCAGTGATTTTCAATGTGTAAACAAGCAAGTTTGAAGAACTTGAAACGTCAGGTGTTGGAAAGACATTGACATTTGCAGTTGATGTTCTTGTATATAGGCAGGGAAGTGGTAGGCAACAGACGGCCCAAGAGCTATAGGCAGCTGTAGACAAAGTGACTGAATGGTGTGAAGAGATGGATGCTGTCATCAACATAGAAAAGGCGGCGGTTTTGTGGTGCTCTCTGGACAATAGAAATTTAATAGCCAATGTTCAGAGCCTTACAGTTAATAACAGAAAGCAAACTGAAGTACCTGGATATCATTTTCGATAGAAGCCTGTCCTTCAGGGATCATGTGGAGGCAATGCAGTAAAATGCCCAGAAGGACTCAGTGCTCTCAGGATTCTAGCAGCAATCGACAAGGAACAAAGAATGTTGTTCTCAATATTCCAGCCTGCAGATAGGCTCACAGTTTTGCAAGCAAAGTCATATCTTAGAGAAGCTGCTAAAAAGAAGCACCTCCTGCATGAAGACCTAGATAGAACTAAGGGTCACTGACTGAAAAGAGGAAGGTCTTGGAAAGTACAAGCTGAAGACACAATTAGACGTGTGTGCAGGCTTGATACATTTGGGCTAGAAGAGGAGTGGGTCAAAGTGTCCAAGCAAGAATCAGACTTGTGTAGGGTTCTAATGATTTCAGATCGTGAGGACAGAACTGGCCAACTGGGGCTGCAGAATCAGAAGTTCGACAAATGATTCATGACAATTCCCGCCCAAGTGATGTGATTATCTTTACTGATGGCTCTGTGTTGAGAGGTAGACGAAGTTATGTTATGTTATCACAATCGACGTCACTGCACACTGGGGGTTCCCATGCGTACTTAGTCCTCCAATGCAGCAGCCACTCCAAGTGCTTCTACTAATTGTTTCCATGAGAAGTTGGTTATATTGTCTCCTATCTTGGCCTCGAAGACGGCATAGACGTGCTTCACCATTCTTTACTCCCATGTCACTCAATCGTGTTGGTGTCAGAGATTCCTCAGTATCCACTAGCCCAGTCCGTACAGCATTGGCGATGTCTGCTCTGTCCATGCTTCTTCCCACATACCTTAGTGCAGTGCTTGCCAGTTAGCCCGTTCGCACATTTCCCTTAAGGCCCGCATGACCAGTTGTGTAGATCCAGGTGAGGAAGGTTAAGCGCTATTTTCGAATGCTTTTTACCAATTCAGAGTGCAAACCACCTGTTGCTATCTTCTAGAGCATGTTCAGGGAATCTGATACAATTACTGCCTGTGTGCCGGTTTGCTCGGATACCCATGCTAATGCTCTAGAAGCAGCGTCATGCTTGACGTGGATGTCTCGTAAGCGCCGATTTCCTCTTGCATAGTTTTCCCCATTCTTCGCGCTGTGTATGCCCATGCTGACCTTGATCCGCGCTTCACGGATTCATCTGTGTAGATGATGATATCTTCTGGGTCTGAATGCTGATCTATCAGTTCCCTTACTTCTGTGTCTACGGCAGTAGGAATTTGATCCCGGCAGTACTTCCGAGTATGATTACGACCTTAGAGATTCCAAGCATGTCTCCTGGTGTATTCGTCCATTCTTTTCCGTGACTGATCACGTCTAGGTCACACACCTGCTGAATTAAATTCTCAGCCTTTGCCATCCAGGAGCTGCCTCTTTTGAGACGCGTTCCTTTTGTGTCGTGTATAGCTTTGTGTAATGGGTGGTTAACGTCTGCAGATACCCTCATGTAGGCCTTGACCTGTGCCACTTTGTATCTGCTAGTCATAGTCGGCAGACCCAGGACATAACGCATGGCCTTGCAGGAGGTGTCTTTTGTGCAGCCGAGTATGAGTCTCATGGCCTCATTTTGTACTCGGTCCAGTCATTCTAGCTGGGTTTTGCTGACAGCGAGGAGGCCAAGACCATAGTCAATGACGCCTAATACAGGCCCTTGATAGAGGAGGGAAAGTAGGCGTTGTTCAATATCAGCTGCTGCTAACACCTTAAGTGCTGTCAGACCTTTCCTGGCTCTAAGTATGACGTTGTCTACGTGGCATTTGTATGACAAGCATCTGTCAAATATCATGCCCAGGTATTTCATGGTGTCCGTTCTCTCGATGTCCACACCACACATGCTTACGATTGGCGTTGGTGTACTGACGATATAAGTACTCAGAGAGAACCATGTTAAAGAGGCTTTGGACGGGTTCACTTGAGCTCTTCATTCCTGGCACCACTCACTACGTCTGTCTAGTTAATTTCATGCCTGTTTTTACCTCGACCGTACACAAGGATATCATTTGCATACGACATTGTTCCGCCTAGGCCTGCGCTTTGTGCACTCGTGACTCCTGCTGTGTACACAGGCGACACTGGTGATCCCTGGGGCAGACCCATTAGGACGCGTTGAGCTTTGGATGCCCGTTCATTACATAGAAGCGACACTGTTCTTTCGAATAGCGCTGCTGCGATCCAGTGGACCAGTTTTGTTTCTACCTGCCTATCCAACAGCAGTCTGATGAGCTTCTTGTATGCGACACTGTCGTACGCATCTTCTTAATAAATAGCGGCTGCAGCCGTTTCCATTACCTCCTGGATACCCTCGTATGTGTCGTAGGCAAAAACTGCAGCATTGCACCATGTATCTCTTCCCGGTAAGTAACCACTTACTGTAGCGGGGAATAGACAACCTGACTTCAATGTTTAGGTCACCGTTTTAGCCACGATTTTTTCCATGAGTTTTCTTATAGTGTTCTGGAGTGTGATGATTCTGTAGCCATTTATTCTCATGTCTTCTTTCCCTGGCTTAGGAACGGGTCTGAGGTAGCTATGGAGCTAGTCATCAGGGATAATGCCAGTTTTCATGGTACTGTTCAATATCGTGGATAGTTCACCCATATCTGTCTCCTCGAGGCTTTTGAAGTCGCTGTTTTAATGCCATCATGCCCTGTCACTATGGACATGTCTTCAGTGTTGCTCTGATGCAATCAGTTGAGAGGTGTACTGTATCATCGTCTTTCTCTATTTCAGCCATATGGATATCTTTTAATCTCTGTTTCATCTGCTCCCTATCTTCTCTATCTGTCTTTTCCGTCTGCAGGAGAAATCTGTGCAGGATAGCCTCGCCTTTGTCTTTATCCGACTGTGACACCACCCCTTTGTCCATCTCTAGCTCAGGCATAACAGAGATTTGTTTCTCTGTCCAGGCTTCTGCGACTTCAGGTGTCCACCACGGGGGTTGTTGAAAAATAGCTTTCTTCTTTTCCTGTGTTCTGCGTGACCTAACTTGCTGCCGTCCAATTACATCAGGCTCATGTGCAGCTTATTGGAAAGTGGTGGTTGGTCTCTGATACCTTGTGCAAATTGTTTTTTTTTTAACCAGAATCCTACATGGAAGGTGGTCGCTTCCATGATTTCCCAGTACGCCCACTGGCAGAGTGCACTCATACTGGGAGAGACCAGCGTGAGATCGAGGGCACTGTCAGTATCACCTTCTCTGTCTGGGATTCTGGTGGGTCTGCCTTAATTCAAGCAGATTAAATCCATGTGTGTTAAGGCTTCCTCCAATGCCTCACCCTGTTTATTGACCGTCGGATTGCCCCATAGACGACCTTTGGCATTGAAATCACCACACATGATGATGTCGGTGGTTATCTGCTCACACATATCATTTAAAATTGTCCACTTTTCTTTGTCAACTTCATCATTGCAGGGATAGATGTTAATTAGCATGAAATTTTTATTTCCGTCTACCTGCACCTGAATTTTTCTGTTGTTCCATGCACTTGTGTGTACAACTGAGGATGTTATTCCGCGCCTGACCAGGATCGCTTGGCCTAGGTGTTTGCTGTTGTAGTACGTTTGGAAACCTAAAACATTCAGAGCTTCCTCCGTAATCAGCCGGGTCTCCTGAAGTGCGATTAGATCAGAATCATACATCATTTTCTCCAAGACTGGGCCGCTCTGTCGATCGCTCCTGCAGTTCTAGAACAGAATGCAGAGATTGCCTTTGCCAAGGCGTTCTGATTTAGACTGGTTTTTTCGTGCACCAGCACGTCTAATGCTTCGTCTTCTACCATATTGTCCTCTCCTCCTTCTGTACCTTTTAGACGCTGCTGCATCGGATCTCAGCAGGGACGCACGAACTCTGTAGCTCCAGGTTGGATCAAGTTCATCAAATTTGTCTACCATATTTAGTCAAAACAGTAGTGAGGGTTTATTAACGGCCACCTCAGTGGTGTCCTCGTGCTGGGTAAGGGGCAAGGGACATAACGCTCATCAGCAAGATGTCGCTCCTGTACGACCTGACTGCCTTCGTTAACGATTGTGCACCCCCAACCATGCATTTCTTTAGCACGAAGGAGACACATTAAACTTGGGTTATGGACTACCGACTCTCTACATGCTCACACGCAGGTGTACAAAAATTATCGTGTTTCTTTTTTATACCTTATGCCTTATGTTCCAGCATGCATTTATCTAAAAAAAAAAATATATTTTCATGCATTTATGCATACATACACTTAAACATACTAATAATAGTTCTGACAACAATTAATAATAAATAACAGTTCACAAGCACTCTCACATCGAAGTAGAAAGGGAGAGGTACATGTAAACACTAAACAAAACTGAGAGAGATGAAAAGGAGGAGAGAGATCACTAAATGACTAATTCCTCCAGGAGGAAAAATGTTTATTAATACTTCTGTACAGTAATCCACAATTTGGTGTAGGGCATCAAAGGGTCAATGTTTTTATCTTGAGGCCCCGAACAGATGACATCTCGTACAGAAAATGTAAGAGACAAGTCCGAACGTCGTTGATTCGTTGAATATACTTATGTCTTTCTCCTATCCTTAAAATGTTGTGTTTCCGGCTCCTAGTGGGTCCAGAAAATAAACTCATTCCTCTGATAGCCTAGTGGAAGGTCTTTCGACCAGTTTTATACGAAGTGAATGGGGGTTCATAGCAAAAGCGAATGGACGTCGCTTAGTGCACAAAGCCTGGATAATATATCACAATGTTTAGTTTAAGAATGGAGGTGGAGACAGTCACTGCCTTACTCTGGATTGAGAATCAATTGTAATTGTAACTGACGTAATTGTAACTGACTCACAGAGTATGTTGAGTAAGGTGGAGGCAGGCAAACTCCTTGAAGTGGCAAGCATAACTTCAGAGATCCCGTGTAGTTAGCATCCTATATATATTTTCTCTAGGTCATGCTTGTATGTTGGGAAACTAGCAGTCATATAAACTGACTGGTTCTGCACCACTTGGCGATAAATTGATGTATGACAAGCTAGATTTTGGGAGAGCCTTTTGCGAGCGAGTGAACCGTGCAAAGGCACACATAGAACATTACAGTCTGGGGTAAATGGCGCTGCAGGGAGTTACAAGGGGATCTGCTGACGCTCGAAACATGTACAATCAGATAGTTACCGATACCAACGGAATTGGAACTCTTTGCTTGCGGCTGAAGATGAGGACGGAGCGCGTATGCGAGTGTCCTGAGTGCTATGATGTTGATTCTTAATTCAAAATTCAACATTCAACATTTTTGTGTAACTGTAAGGTATATAAATTATTTAAAAATATTATAGATTTAACTGGTGAATTTATGTAAGCTTTTAGGAATGACCATGTCAATATCAATAAGAAATGACGTATGTAAATTCTGGACAAAAATCTGCTGTAAATGTGTTGACTAGTGTTATTGTATGGAAGCCACCGTTGTGTAGTAATAAGACGCTCCCTTGCAGTTCGGAAGGCCGTGGGTTCGGATCTTGATCGTTCCAGACTAAAAAAAAATGACAGTGGCTCCCAGGTCTATCCAGCCTTAACTGGGTACCAGGTGTAGTCCTAGGAAGAAAAGGCGGCAGGCGTGGTAATGACCTCATCACTTACAAAGTGCCGATTAGTCCATAAAATATAGTGAGCAAAAAAGGACATTTTTCCACGCTTTTAGGCGTATAGGGCACATAGGTCTAGACCTATATTTTATATACCAATCAGCAGGGTGATGTGGTCAGCATCACGCTGGTCGCCTTTACTTCCCGGGACTGCACCCGGTACCCATTCGATGCTGGGTCGACCTAGGAGCCAAGGTCATTTTTTAAAAATAAGTCAGGGAGCGAAACCACGACCTTCCGATCCGCGGCGAACGTCTAGCCACTCCGCCACGGCGACTCTCTTTACGCACAACACGCCTGGAAGCGTGAAGGCCTGAAAAGAGACCTTCATTGTACTTCACCTAGTTTTACTGTATTGGTGCACTGTGTGTGTAGTATGTATGTATGTGCCTGTATGTCTGTGTACTTGTGCATGTGTGTGTATTTGCGTGTTTGTTTGCGGCTTTTGAAATGAGTCAACATTCAATGCCAGACTGTTACTGTCTATGCGCGCACACAGATACCAACACTGACACAAACACGCGCTAAATACACAAGCGAATAGCCTTCTACTAGCAGTTACAGGAAGGTCTTGTGAAAATATTTTACTATTCTGTTCAGCTAAATTCTGCTTCCCCATTTTGTTGAGCGTTTTAGTCAAATTTCTCTGGAATTTCAGCTAAATTAGCAGACCAGGCGTTTGTGTAGCAAGAAAAAAAAAAAAAAATTGGACATTTGAAAATGGAGGGGGTGGGGTGATAGGTGGAGAGAATTTAATATTAGTGTACTGAAAGATCCTCTGAAAAACAAAATGAAAAATGATACCTGTCACAGTCTCTGTTAATCCAGTCCGGATATATAAACACCCGTTTCAAGTCAGCTGGACAAAAGTATGACCTCAGACAGTCTGTGCACATAAGAATTAGTTGTTATCAGAGACGTTACATTAATTACATTATTCCAACTCAGTTCTGAAATCGACAAGGGAAGACTGTTACTTCTGTATCACAGATATAACAAATGTGGACAGAAATGAACAGCACACATTTCCAGACTACACTACTATCACATGTCTCAAGCTCGTGAAACGGTTAATCTTAAATGCTGCTCTTTGTCTGGAAAATGAAACTTTCTTACAAATAGACATAGCTACAGACAGGCGGACAGACAAACACACAGACAGACAGGCAAATAGACAGGAAGATAGATAGGCAGATAGACAAACAGACAGACAGGCAGATAGACAGACAGACAGGCAGATAGACACATAAATCGACAGAGATAAAGACAGATAGAGAAAGAGACAAATAGACAAACATACAGAAATTAAAATAGACAGACAGCCAGGCAGATAAACAGGCAAA